ATATATATATATATATATATATATTAGAATCCTTATGGCAAAGTTATAAATGGGTGCACACAAGACATTTTACCTCAATGTAAGCACAAAGCTACATGACAAAAACGTCTCAACAAATGCATAAAAAGTAACGAATAGATAAAACCCAGGCTAATTCTGATTACTGAGGTTATTCTTTGTGTAACATGCATGAGACGTGTGGGGTTTTCTGTTTAGATTAGAAGTAAAATTCCCTTTTACGCTAATCTTGGACCAGTCTTCTTGTTGCTTCTTTCCAATCAATAAAACTGGCCTTAGATCAACCTCAAAGTGCAACTTCTATGAACACTAAATAAACGGCTAGATAAAAACACTGGGAGTGTGTGAAGGGTGCGAGTGTGGATGCGGATGATGAATGGGACACTCCACTTGAGTTTGGCCCAGGAGGAGTTCCTTCTCCCTGGATAAACACGGTCCGCTAATCTGCTGACTGTGGGAATGATAGAGCCTCAGGAAGGACAGAATAGAGTGAGCCAACCACAGAGCCGTTACACACCACAGAGAGATCTGCAAAGAGAGACACACTTAGGATAACACGTTACCATGTAAAATATGCATGTTTTGTTGAACTGCGCCACAGATCTCAGAACGAAAAACAAGTTGCTCTTTTACCTGCGCACAATTGAGCTCAGAGTAGAAAGAGGATGTCTCAACGTCCAGATAAAGAGGAACGGACTGTGACTCAGCACAACTGCAGAGACAGAGAATCATTAAATACATCACTATTTAACAACATTATGTAGGTATTTCATTCATTCCTGAAACATGTGCATTCAACAGTATGCATTTTTAGACCATAGTTTTAGACCATAATCTATGTTAATCAATTCTCTAAAGCTGCTTTGAAACATTGTGAAAAGTGCTACACAAACAATCTTCATATCAGCTTATAGATTTAAAGCTTTGTGTACCTGTAGGATCTGGTGTTGTGGTCTGTAACGGTGTTGCACCAGGACACCAGGCCCAGGGTGAGAGTAACACTGGCCCCTCCAGAGAGGAAGAGCACACACAGACTCAACAGTAGCGTGAGGAAGGCAGAGAACAGCGTGCTGCAGGAAAATGAGGGAAAATGAAAATCAATGGATCACACAATTTACTTTGATACATATAAGGTTGGTCCTTATATAAAACATTCATTTAAATATTACTTAATATACACAAAACATTAATAAAAAAAAGCATATTAATCTCTCACTCTATATATATAATTCATTAATATTTAAGTATTAAAAAGACTTAAATTATTGAATAATAGCCTATATTTAAAAATATATACAGCATAATGCATAATTATATGTTGTACTTATTTTAATATATTGTTTTACATAACATATATAATTTAATCATTAAAACATTATTAAATAATTGAATAATATATTTAAAATGTTTAAGTATAATTATTATAATTACATTAAACATTTATATTGAACTAATATAAAATATTTAGGTTAATTTCTTTGATATACACAAATATTGAATAGCATTAAGTTGAATATATATATATATATATATAAAATTATTTAATAATATTTTAATTTTAGTTTATATATTACATGGGTTTGATTTAATTTTATTTCATAAAATATGTCTATACTAGTTTCTGCTGTTATATAGGTAAGTAATTGTACCATTAACGAATGTAGCATTCAAATGTTTTA